CAATGGAGCCATCCTTATGCAGTGGGGCAGGGCAGAGAACTGTGCCAGGCTAGTTCCTCCTTGACTGCTGAGCAGGTACCCACAGCCTGCCCACGGAAGGTTTGGCCAGTCCCTCTGAAACCTCTCCATTGGCTTTTGGGGAAATGCAAACCCCTCAGTCTGGCATTCGAGGCCCTCAATCAGCTGATTCCAATTAATCCCTACACATACCTTCCGCTGACCCCAAACCAGTATCTCAATGTCCACCTCTCACGCCGTAGCCAGTCACGCCACCAGAAACACCCCCACCCCCTAGCACTATGCAACTCCTAATTCCACTAACGGCTGCCATCCCACTTACTGCCTGCCTGCTGTGTGCCAGGCACGGACTCCACAAAGTGGGGAGACTACCCATCTCACGCGACAGCAATGCCAACTGCCCTGGCAATGTGAAGTTATGGGAAAAATTCCCACTACCCAAAAACACTGAAGAAAAGGCTTGGTTTTCCTTGCTGTAATAAACAAAATATTTGAAGTTTTTAAAATAGATCTTTCTTCATGTTTTTCTGGTGTTTGTTTTTCCTTCTGTGCATTCCCATCTCTGAGTGCAGCTCTGTGTTTCTCAAAGCAGCTCCCAGCCATCATGTCTGATCTGCACAAACAATGCTCCCAGGTAGGCAGGCAAACAAGGGTTCATTGTCCCTCTTTCATGGGGAAAGAAAGGAGGCACAGAGAGAGTAAGTGACTTGTCCAAAGTCACACAGCAGAGACTGGCAACTCCCAGCCCACCTCCTTTTAGTCCCCAACAAATCCCTACCATGAGCTGGGCACTGCCTTGGGTATTTGCCTATATTAGTCTCCTTACCCTTTGGAACAGCCCCTTCAGGCAGACAGACTGGGTGATCTGTACTTTACAGATAAAGAAATGGAGGCCCAGAGAGATAGAATAACTTGCCCTAAGTTGAACAGCTTTTCAGTGGCAAAGTCAGAATTTGCAGTCAAATGCTCTTCCACTGAGCTATACGCCCAGCAAAGTCAGAATTTGAACTCAGGTCTTCTACTTCCAAAAGGCTGCCCGGGGGAGGGCGGCTCATGTTGGCAGAGGTGTGGAGTGGGCACATCACTGAACCTCTGTGAGCCTTACCTCCTCATCCGAAATGTGGCCACGGTAACATCACACTGGGCTGCGGAAGGGACAAATGATGCCACGCCCAGCTCATCTCTGTCGTCCCCGGTGCCGTCCCAGTCCCCTAGGTCACTCCACCTACCCAATAGATGCTTACCAAGTGTGCCAACGAGGTTCCTGCCGTTGTACCAGCACACAGCAGGAGCATTATAGGTTTGACTCCTTTCTTCCAGTGGGACCTCCCTGCTTTGGGGTGCCTCTCCACTAGCACCCCTGTGCCTCTTCTCCCTTCCTCCTCTCTGAGTCACTGCCTGCAAGTTGCTAGTCTTCAACCCTAAAAATAGAGCACATTTGGCGGCATAGAAATACCTACAGATGTAAACTACATCTTCAGCCCCCTGCCCTCCGGTCCCACTCTGCTGACCCCAGGGTGGTCATCCCACGAAGTCCCAGGACTGGTGACCCCTGCTTAACCTAGTATGGACCTAGTCTTCAATCTGCCAGAAGGCCTTAGCCAGCAACACCCCTTTGCCCCATGATGTCCAGCAGAGCCAAACTTCCTTTCCTCATTGGCATACGGAGTGCCACCTCACACCTCACACTCCCTGGCCAGGCTGAGCTGGCTCCCAGAGCTGGGGAAGGGCCCAGAGAAGGGAAATGGTTTGCCTGGGCTGCACAGCCAGCAAGAGGCATGGCCAGGCCTGGACTCAGAACCGGCACCCTGGCAAGCCTCAGATGAGTGCTCAGATGAGAACAGCGAAGCCCAGAGCCCCCTCGCTGCCCCCTCCTAGCATCGGTTTGCCCCGGAGACTCTCTCAGAGCCCGCAGAAGTGCCTCTCAGAAAGCTGCTCTCCAGGGAGCAGGGTACAGCCAGGGTGCCAGGGCCCAGCCTGGCAGAGGATCTCAGAGGATTCCCCTCCCTGCTCACCAGCTGGCCCCTGGCCTTGCTGGGAGGGCAAAGCACAAACCAGGACTTGGCAAGCCTTCCTGGCAAAGTGGCAAAGGGAAGGGAACCCCGGGGGCTGTTTGGGCTGGGGTGTGTCCTGTCTCCGGAAGGGCCTGCGGAGCAGCACCTTCAGGGACAGCAGAGGGGCGGCAGGGCAGCCCGGCAGGTGTGGGGGGAGGGGCAGGAGGGGAGTACGTGGAGGGGGAAACACCAGACACTCTCCCACGAGGGCCAGCCAAGCGGGGTTCATGTGAAGCAGAAAAGGAAGGGGAGGCTTTTCTGGGGGAGGTCAGAGGGGCCTCTGCCACCCCCTCCCGGGGTGATGAGGAGGTCACGTCCCACACGCAGGAAGCTGATGTAATGCACACGTGCGTGCGCCCGTGGTGGCCCGGGTGTGGGTGGGTGCGTGTGCATATCTGCCAGGTTAATTTTTAAGGGCGTGGGGCTTTCGTGCGCTCTTTCCTGTGTGTCTCTGGACCACGCATATTCCCAGCGGGGGTTAACGGAAGCAGCTCTCAGTCCGGTGGGGGCTTCCGAGGAGACTCTGCTTGCTGACAGTGACCCCCATCTCTGTGTGTCCATGTGCTGGGTGGTGTGTCTCGGCGTCTGTGGTGTCAGGCAGAGCTGGGGGCGGGGGTCTCGGCCTGGGTGTGCCTGTGTCTTCCTGGGCTTGGGTCTCGGGTATTAGTGAGTCGAACCCTGTGTTTGTCTGTGTGTGGCTGTGCACGGGCCTCGGCTGTGCATGGGCCTCGGCTGTCTGTGCAGCATGTGTGACTGCTCAGCAGCCTCTGACAGCCAGGACAAAGGCCTCCACAGACAGACAGGTGTCGTGGAAGCCAGACCTGCCCCAGGAGTCCTCAAAGGGCCTCTTAGCTCTGGAACATGACAGCCGGGCAGGGGGTGGGGCCGGGTGAGAAGGGGCCAAAGTAGGGCCTCAGAACTCCCCGTGCAGACGCTGAGGTTCCTGAGGCCTGAGCAGTAGAGACCTCCCCGCCCCACCCAGAGCCGAAAAGGAGAGACCCTCTGCATTTCAAGAAGCCAAAGGAAGAATCATTTCGTCTCATGGGGGTGGAGGGTGAATAGAGCCAGGAGAGGGGTCTCCTGAGACCCTCCGCAGGCAGGCAACCTGGCACTGAGGGAGGAGGAGCAGGCTTTGCCCAAGGAAAGCTGTGAGTCCCAGGGTGGGAGCACCATCATGGCTGTGGCATGGCTGTGGCAAGGGACAGCAGAGAAAGCATGGGGCTCTGGGAGAGGAAGAAGGTCTGAGTTCTGGACCCGGAAGAAAGTGGAGGGGTTCCCCTCAACCTGACCCAGCTTCCCCACCCCATCCGGATGCACATCCACCTCCCCAAAGAGCGCAGGGAGCAGGTCACCTGTGGGCCACTCCCGACATCACAGACCCCGCCCCTGCTCCCAAATCCACCTAGATCAGGAGTCAGAGTTGATTTTAGCCCTGGCAGAAGGTGGCTGCATGACCTTGGGCAGTTAATGTAGCCTCTCTAAGCCTCAGTTTCCTCATCTGTGCAATGGAGACCTCAGTGTGCATGCATGCATAGAGGCACACGCGCACACCCCACGCGAAACACTGCTGTGCATGGGGAAGGTGATCGCGCCATCTGGGGATTAATTGTTACCTAGAATCCTTTCTGAGGCCATTAAGGCACTCCTCAGGGTCCCCAGCTGCAGGGGGGGCTCAGAGTGAGGCTGAGGTCCTGGATGGAGAAATGGGGGGAAATCTCTGGGGCCAGCTGGGCAGGACCACCCCACCCCTACTCAGCCGCTGCCCTCTCCCCATTCAGGGTCAACTTTGGGTGACGTTTACTACAGCAGAGACCCTCCCCCCACCCCCCACCCCCGCCAGCTTCTTCCAGACATCCCCGGGAAAGAGGGACCACTGCCCTCTGGCAGGGTAGGCTAAGAGCTTGGGACCCAGCTTCCTTGGGAGGAAATGACACCTCCTACTTCATTTCTCCTCTGCCTTTCTCTCCGGCTCTGTCCTACTGAGCTTCTCTCCGCGGCCCTTCCTGCTGGCCTCTGGCTACAGCGACGGAAGGAATGAAGAACGGGGACGGATGCCAATGTGCCATGTGTGAGGGCTGGGGTGTCCTTCTTGATTCCACCCCCAGGCCTGTGCTATGACCCCAGCAAGGACTCGGGGGTCAGGGGCAGGTTGGGGTCTAACCACCACAGAAGGAGGGTGCTCGCCTCCCGAGCCAGTGTGTGTGTGTGTGTGTGTGTGTGTGTGTGTGCGCGCGCGCGCGCGCGCGCCCGCGCCCAGGCGCCCCAAGGCTGGCACCAAAGCGGCTGCGGGGCGCGGGGACCGCCCTATGGATTCCCACCGAGTCCTCAGATCCTGCGGAGCCAGGGGAGGAAGGCGGCGAGGGGGCGCTCGACTGCGTGACGCGGGTGCCCTGCTCCGCGGCGGGTCGGGAACAGGGGCGGAGGGAGTGCGCTCTGTCCCCGGGGAGGCAAGGACATCACCGCCCTCTCGGCTCAGGGTCGTTGCCCCTGAGCACCCCCCCCCACTTCCCTCACTGAGGACCGGAGCGCCTCCTCTTGGGGGGCGTTAAGGCGCCGGGGCCCCTGCCCGGGGATAGATGGAACGCGCCCACTTCTCCGCGTTCTCTCCTCGGCACCCAAGGCGCCCCCTCCCCAGGCAGAGGGCAGGCGGGACTCCCACCCACGCAGGGGGGTGGGACCCGCGCCCCCTCAGCGGCGGCCTGGACCGAGCCCGGCAGGCGGGGGTGGGGGGTGCTCAGCCGCCTCAGCCCAGGCCTGCCCCCCACGCCCGCCTCCAGCCGCGGCCAACCCGGCCCGCGCCCCCTCCCGCCGACCCCCGGGCCCCGGGTCCCCGCCCGCCCGCCCCTGCGGGGTCTTGGCGGCGGGCCGAGGGGAGCCGGGGCCGTGCCTTCCCCGTCCCCGGGCCGCACCCGGGCGGGGCGGACTCACCCGCGGGCCTGGGCCGGGCGTCTTGGGCTCGGCACTCCGGTGCCCGCGGCGGCCGCTGCAGCTCTGCTCGGACGCGGCTTCGCGTTCGCCGCCGCCGCCGCCGCCGCCGCCGCCGCCGCCGCAGTTCGGGGAGGGGGGCGTCACGTGACGGCGGAGCGCTCCTTCCCCGGCGCCGCTCCCCCCGTCACTGCGGAGCCCGAGCCGCGGGCGAGCGAGCGGGAGCGGCGGAGGCCCCCGCCCTGCCGGTCCCGGCGCGCCCGTCGCCCCTCCCGGCGGGTCCCGGCGGCAGGCACTCTGTGCCCCCATTTCGCAGGTGGGGAAACTGAGGGCCAGTGAGCGCAAAGACTGGCTCAAGGTTACGTGGCTAGTCTGTGGCAGGGCCCCGGGCGCGAACCCAGCGGTCTGGCCAATAGCCCATGCTCCAAGGGGAGAGGGACGGCTTCTGGGGCAAGTGGGGCTACTTGGGAAAGGTTCGGGACACGCCCTAGGCTCCCAAGGCCTCCGCGCGTCTGCGGGGGCGGGGAGGAGGGAAGAAGCGCTGGGGGGTAGGTGGCCAGGAGGCTGTGCCCCGCTGACAGCGCGTCCTCTGCACTGAGGAGCTTGGTGAGAGTCCTCGAGTCCTCGAAGGAGCTTCGTGGTGACCATCCCACCCTTAGCGCGTTAGCGGGCCTTGGACATGCTCCCTGGACTGGGCAGCTCGCTCCCCACTCCCAGCCTAACCCAGAACCGGGGAGGCGAGGCCCTGGCCTCTAAAGAAGAAGTGGAGAGACAGAGCAGGAGGCTGCTGGGGTTAAGAGTTGAAAACCCAGGCAGAACAAGGCCACGGGGATCACTTTAGTCTGCCTGCTGAGGCCCAGAGAGGGTAAGAGATTTGCCCAAGGTCACATGCAAGTCAGAGGCGGCTTCTGGGCCTCAAGGAGGGGACCCCATTGGTGTCAGAGGGTAATGGCTAGATGAATGGAGGGGACAGGCAGTGTGTCCGCAAGGCCAGAGCTCTGGGGGACAATGAGTGAGGGTATGCTTGGTGACCCCATGATCATGTCCCATGTCACATACAACATTGTTAGAGATCATCTCTGGATCTCACTCCTTTGCTCTTTTTAAAAAAACTTTTTAGGGGTGCCTGGGTGGCTTAGTCGGTTAATCGTCCGACTTTCGCTCAGGTCATGATCTCGCAGTTCGTGGGTTCGAGCCCTGTGTCAGGCTCTGTGCTGACTGCCAGCCCAGAGCCTGGAGCCTGTTTCAGAGTCTGTGACTCCCTCTCTCTCTGACCCTCCCCTGCTCACGCTGTCTCTCTCTCTCCTAGAAATAAATAAAACATTAAAAAATTAAAAAAAAATTTTTTTAAAGTATTTATTTATTTTTGAAACAGAGAGAGACAGTGTGAGCAGGGGAGGAGCAGAAAGAGGAGACACAGCATCTGAAACAGGCTCCAGGCTCTGAGCTGTCAGCCCAGACCCCGACATGAGGCTCAAACCCACACAGTGAGATCATAACCTGAGCCGAAGTTGGACGCCCAACTGACTGAGCCACCCGGGTGCCCCCTCACTCTCTTGTTCTAATAACTGGAGAAACGGAGTCTGCAAAAGAGGTAGAGACAACTGTCTATCACATCAATCTAGTCGATCAAGCCAACGGGACTCTCAGAAGTCAGAGTCTAATAGGCCCACTTCACAGACAGGTAGGTTCGGGAGGACTCAATTTTGTATTTATTTATTCAACCTTTTTTTTGAAGTTTATTCTTATTTGAGAGAGATAGAGAACAAGCAGGGGAGGGACAGAGAGAGAGGGAGACAGAATCCCAAGCAGGCTCTGCACCATGAGCCCATGTGGGGCTCAAACTCACAAACTGTGAGATCATGACCTGAGCTGAAGAGTCTGATGCTTAACCAACTGAGCCGCCCAGGCGCCCCTCAACTTATTTTTTTTTTTAATTTTTATTTATTTTGAGAGAGAGTGCATGGGCTAGAGCGGGGGATGGCAGAGAGAAGGAGAGGGAGAGAGAGACCCTCAAGCAGGCTCTGAAATGCCAGCACAGAACCTGACACGGGACTCGATCTTATGAACTGAGATCATGACTTGAACCTGAGCTGAACTTAACCGACTGAGCTACCCCGGAGCCCCACTTATTCAACTTATTTATTGACCACCTGCTGTGCTTAACAAGAGTGTGAGTTCCCCACTTCCTCCCTTCCCCAAACCCTCCCCCTGCCCCATCTTTCCAGTCATGGGGACTGCATTCCATTAGGGAAAAGATCTGGGCCTCAGCAACCCTTGCATCAGTCTCTGCACGGAGACATGCAGGGCCCCGAGTTTTCAGTCCCATGGGGCTGTGACCGGGGCCATATGTCTCCACCAAGACTCTCACCCAACCAAGAAGAGATGATCTGAATCAATGGTGAGTAGGGGTACGAGTCTCAACTTCATTCCACCCTCCCTCGAGCTAATGTGGAAAGGCAGAGGGCAAGGGCGGATCAGGCACCAGAGCTCTCTGGTCCAAATTCTCCCTCCCGGCACGCTCTCGCCAGCCATGGGTGGGAAGGAGGCCCCAGCCCAGGGCTTCTCAAACTTTGAACAGCATAGAAGTGGCCTCATCCTGATGCACAGGGTCTGGAGCTTGAGCTCCTGCATTTCTTTCTTTCTTTTTTTCTAATTTTTAATTTTTTCATGTTTATTTATTTTTGAGAGAGGAAGAGAGAGAGAGAGAGAGAGAGAGAGAGAGAGAGAAGGAGCAGGGGAGGGGCAGAGAGAGAGGGAGACACAGAATGTGAAGCAGGCTCCAGGCTCTGAGATGTCAGCACAGAGCCCGACACGGGGCTCGAACTCACAGACTGCTAGATAATGACCTGGGCCAAAGTCAGATGCTTAACCAACTGAGCCACCCAGGCACCCCTCTGTTTTTTGTTTTTTTTTTAAGTTTATTTTTGAGAGAGAGAGAGAGAGAGAGAATGAGAATGAGAATGAGAATGGGAATCCCAAGCAGACTCCACACTATCAGTGTGAAGCCAATGTGGGGCTCGAACTCACCAACAGTGAGATCATGACCTGAGCCTAAGTTGGATGCTTAACTGGCAGAGCCACTCAGGCTCCTGAGCTCCTGCATTTCCAATAACGCTGTGCAGTGTTCCGGTGCTGCCGGCCACAGACAACACTTCTGGCAGCGCCATAGAACGAGGTGATCAGGACAGGAAGGAGGCAACTGCTGGGACAGAGGACAGATGCCTGGAACATCGTCTGCTTCCCCTGGGCCCACCCCACTCCTGGGGACCCTCTGACTTCCTGTCCAGCATGGGGCCCCGGGCCTGGATCCTTCTCAGGATGCTCCAGGGCCAGGTAGTTGGTTCAAAGCTAGAGTGAGAGAGCAGTTAAACGTGGGTGGTCAAGGCACTTCTGGGGCTGGAGCAGAGGGATTTCATGGTGGACCAACTGCCCCAGACAGGTATGTTCAACAGGGCACTGGTCCCGGGAGATGCTTGGGGGAAAAAAATCCCATTTGCGACAGGCTGGCTGAAAGCCTGAAGGCTTTGCAGGGCAGCAGGCACAGGGCTGGCTGGCGTGCAGCGGAGCTGGGCTCACACACCTCAGGACGGACACACAAATCTCAGAGCTCTGGGAAGCATCGCATCTCCTCCCACCCTCTGGCTTTTTTGTACAGTGGGCCAGATGGATCCTCAGATTCAATTCGGGTCACAATCCCTGTGCCTTTTCCTGCTTCAGCTACTCCCCCCAAGAGCCCTCTCTCCCTCCGTGCTGTGCCGTGAGACAAAAGAGATCCCAGGCTCCCCACTCTGGCTCAGGGTAATTAGCTAAGGGCTAATGGTGCCACCCCGGCTTGTGAATGGAGACAAGGTGTCCCACCTGAGCCGGAGCAAGAGGGACAGACAGAAGCAGCCGTGGGGTGGAAACGCACTAAGTGAGCAGTTGCAGCTGTGACCTTTTGTAGTCTGGACTGGCAGACTCCAAGGTCCCCCAAGAGCCTAAGGTCATGCTGGCACTGGGGGACTGAATGTGCCCGACCCTGGTTGAAGAAGGAAGGCTCTTCTGTGCCAAGCCTCTCTACTCCTTCTTTATAATCAAGGAGCTTTCGATTACAGCATTTTCCTCTACAGAAAACCTCAATGCAAGAGGCTTATAATCTCCAGTGTGTCCTGGGGGGTGGGGGGCACCATTCTGAGACTGTCAGGGCCCCTAGGGAGAAGGCAACACGTGCCGTAGGGGGCTGGGCACGCAGCCTGGCATGGAGCCTAGGTACGGAAGGGGAAGATTGGACGAAGGCTCCAGAGCTTTGCTTTCCCTGGCCTATTTCAATCCAAACCACTCAGGACTGACCGCTCACGCATGGCTGCCTCTGGGCACAAGACTTTTCTTTTTCAAACACTTAATACATTGCAACCTGGCCATCACCCCTGCACTCCCAACCGGTGACAAATGAAAGCTGGCTGCAAAAAACCTGACATCTAAGAAGACTTGGAGAACGAAAATGTGGGTGGGCACAACAGTAAACTCAGAATAATGCACGAGGGAGTCCTAAAACCGGGAATCGTCTCCTGGAAAAAACTCTTTTCTCTGCTCCCCCCGCCTCACACCAGTTCAAAGGGGAGAAGATGGGGATGGGGGCGGCTCAGCAGGAAAGCGGGGTGGGGAGGGAACTCACAAGTGGTGGGTCCCCAAGGTGTGCTAACCATGGAACACTGAGTAAGGTCTAGCAGGGGCTGGGAGACCAGAGAGGGTGGGCGGCCGCAGGGGCGGCTGGGAGGAGAGTTCCACCCCAGTGAGAACCAGACCCGATGGTGGGAGTCGGCCTCGGTGTCTGCACAGTGAGCTGTCATGCGGATGCCTGGAGACTCGGCAGAGAGGATGCCACCCTGTGGGACCCACTCTAGGGTTAGAGAAGTCTTTGGATCATGAATGTGAACATAGATAGGGAGTCCCCACTTTGAGCACAAGAGACAAGCAGCCCTGGTCATACAAGACTCTAGAAGGCTCTCTCCCAGGAGTCTTACTGTCACAGAAGAGCTTCTAGTGGATCTTGAGGTGTTCATTTTTC